GTTTTCTAAATAAGAAGCAAAATAGGGGGAAGGAAAAGAAAAAAATTATGAAAAAAGAAAAGAAAAAACATCTCAACAGTGCAAGCTCCTGCTGGTGGGTGTGAGTCAGGATGGCGGCTGGAGAATGGCTGCATTGGATGATGTGTAGGTGAAGAGTATCGAAAGTACCGTGGTTGCTTAAGAACAAAGAAATCTGGCTTGGAGGAATACAGCCAGAATGTCCCCTAGAAGTGAGCATAGCAAGGTATTTTCTCATGTTGCTGTTGTTTTGTGGCATTGAGTCAATTCTGACCCCCAGTGACCTCATAGAACAGAACAAACATGGCCGATCCGGTGCCGTCCTCACAGTTGTTCCTGTGATTGACTGAGCCCACGGCTGCAGGCTGGTGTCAATCTAGCTCCTGGAGGGCTTTCTTCTTTTTTGCTGCTTCTCTCTTTTACCAAACCTGTTGAGACCAGGAACTGGTCTCTCGGACAACCTGCCCAAAGTATGTAAGATGAAGTCCTGCTCTCCTGGCTTCTATGGAGCACTCTGGCCGTACTTCTTCCAAGACCGATCGGTGTGTCCTTTTAGCAGTCCACGGTACTTTCAATATTGTTCTCCAGCCCCACCGTTCAAATGCATCCACTTTTCTTGGGTCTTCCTTATTCAGTGTTCAACTTTCACAGACATAAGAGGCCATGGGAAATATGGTGGGTTGGGTCAGGCCCACCTTAGTCCTCAAAGTAATTTCCTGGTGGTCTTGTGCGGCAGCTGTACCGAGTGCAATGTGTCTCACGTACTCTGGGCCTACCTATTATCAGGATAAACCAGCTCCTAGAAAAGGACATCATTTTGGTAAAGTAGAGGGTCAGTGAAAAAGAGGAAGATGTTCACGGAGACTGGGTGGCACAGTGGCTGCAACAATGTACTTGCACCTTATAGCAGTGGTGAGGATGACCCGCGACCAGCTAGTTTAGTTTCCTTCTGTTGCACATCAGGTTACTATGAGTCAGAGCCGATTTGACGGCCTCTAACAACAAGTATTACCAATCAAGTATTCTCATACTAAGGTAAAGCTATTGATTTGACTTGAAAATACCACGCAGAATTCCCACACTTGGAGGCTCAAATTGACCAACTTACTAGCACAACGAGACTTTCCTACTATATTAGTGTCTCCTGCTTGCACATTTTGTTCCTGTGGCTCAATCTTCTCTCTGCTGGGAATCTCATTATCTTCTTTGGTGGAACAGCGCTCGCTGTTCCGTTAGCCAATTTGACCAGAGTTTGAATTTATTTAGCTCCTAACTTTGTGGAATGATTTTATCTCTCTAATAATTGCCATTGAGTGTATCCATCAAAAAGGGTGAGTGGGACACAACCATACCTCATTCTGATTCATTAATCTAGTTAGGAAAAAACCTCAATTTGTTCCAATTCATATGAACACTTCTCTCCTTTGTTCAGGCTAAGCTTGCGACAGAGAAAGAAAAATAGGTAGCCATGGGTAGGTAGTAGCTGATGGTATAGTATGCTGTCTTAGTCTCCATTTATTTCTTCTAAATTCCTCCCTGGCCAACAGGTGTCTCACACCAATCCATGCTGCAAGTGTAGGGGTAGAAGGGGAGGGATGTTTTGGTTACTACCTGTACTAGCTAGCTGTACTCAGCTTCCATGGGGTTGCTGTTGGGAGAAGGCAAGGGGCCTGAGTATCACTTAGGTTTAGTCTGGAAACTGTAGCCTTGGCTGCTGAGAATGATCGTGGTGTAAATGATAGATTTAGTTTTTAGACTAAGGTTCAGTTCCATCCAAACCCCTCAATTGGAAGGATTCTACTCACTGCAGAAAATCAATCATATAATCCTTTCGTCCTCCCCAGAATTCCCGGCACTCTCTAGATTGGGCGTCCCATTAGTTGGCTACTTAGTAGTTCATTTGACTTAACCCCCCCCATGTTTCATGTTCTCTTTTGATGCTCCAAGCAACCAGGGTTTCCTTCCAGGTCTTTCAAGGGCTGTGAAGGCCTGTGTGAGGTGGGGTTGCCCCATCCATCGAGTGTTACTCTGGCCTACCCCATCCTGCATCTTTTCATATCCTTCATTCCTAAGCTGTTCCTACGCTATGTTTACCTTTGTAAATCTCCAGATGAGTAATGGGCTCTTCATGCACAAGTGTCTCCTCAAGTTCACGGGATACATGTTCATGTGTTATTTGTCATCCAACGAAGGAAAGGGGCCCAACCCTGTCTTCCAGGCTAATGGAAAATTCTCCCAACCGTAGCTTCTCTAACCCATGTCGTAGGTTACACACTTTGTTGGCAGAAGTCCTCCAATCAGTTGAGCAACTTTGGAGTAGGGAAATGAAGTGGGTGTCCTTAGACAGGAAGCTGGCTTTCCCGAAGTCTGGCAATCCAGAATGGAATGATCTTGTTCCCAACAGTTTTGTCTGCACTGTGATCTTATACTATTGGTAACATCTAGGGATGCACACAGTTGTATCAGCCTGATGGCACATTTAATTTCATACCAACTCACTTGCATTCCTCAAGATCATAAAGGGAAGCTTTTTCAGTAAAATAATTCCCAGAAATCACTGACATTTCCAATAACACAGTAGGGAAAAGGCAAACATTTATTTTATTTGCAAGTGCATTTTCTGCCAATAGGTAGTGGTCACAAAACTTTTTAAGCTGCAGTAACTTTTGGTAAACTCAATGGATACTTTAAAAAATACTCAGTGATAAGAAAAGTACAGAAAAAATTTCCATTACACTTTCAAAAAATGTTTGGAATCCAAAATCCACTATTTTCTGCAATAGTCACGAATATTTGTTCTGGTTAAAAAGTTTTTCTTTTCCTTTCAACTTCTACATAGTCTTGTTTTAATTAATGTCATCGGTTTCGTGAACTTTTAGGGCTGCAATTTTCTGAATTTAGATAGTTTTTATTACATCGCTATTTTAATGCTTTACATACCACATCGATCTGCTGAGTTTTGGGAAACAAAATCATAGATCCTAATTATGGTGAGGCATTGCCAATTTGGGGGAAAACTGACAATCTAATTATTAGAAGGTCATTTTATGCCCTTTCCCCTTTTTAAACTATAATAAATAATTAGCAACCTATTAATTACAAAAATTCGTAATTACGTTTAGAGCAACCAGAGCCTGTTGACAAATTTAAACATCAGATTTGTGAACAATATGTCAAGTCAGTAAGAAAAGCCTCTGGTGTTCTAGTCTGGTAACAAATGGCTTTTGTTTGATGCATAATTAATAGAACCTAACAATGACTATGTAGCTCTTCCAGAGTTTTAAAGGCAAATCTATACTGGCCTACAGTTAACATGCAAATTCATCCAACAAGCAACACAAAAATGTATTGTAGTAGTCATTCATTTTATCAACATTCAAGAAGATCTAGACAGCAGCACGACTCCTATGTGAGGAACGCATGAAGACATGGTCACACTGGTCTTCTCAGACCTGGTACAATAGCCCCTTGGTAAGTCATTCTCTAGAGTCAGTTCAGTCTTCCAGCACAACACATGAACGATAGCGATGAATACTGGGGTACAAAGGCAAATACAGACAAGAGTTTGGTGTGCTAGCATACAGTTTCTACACAGCGACAGATGAAACCAAACATCTTGCCCGTCTCTCTCCTTCCCTTTTTGTGAGACTGATTTTTTTCACAGCTTCTTTGAAACCTTCAATTTGGGGAACTATGTGCAATGATCCTAGCACTGAAATTGCACCTTGGAAGGGGAATTTGGCCACAAGGGGATGCCATACCCACTTGAAGGAGGGAACTAGCACTGTCCTGCCATGCAACAAATGGTCTGCAATCAGGAGCCTTGAAGGAAAGGGGTATTTTTCAAATTATTTAGCGTTATCCCAAGGATCTGTTTGGGTGGTATGCTGTGGCTTATTTTTTTGGTTGGGTAAATGAAATGCTCACCACCATCACCATCACTCTGAATTCTTCGTCCATCATATAAGACACTTGTTAAAATAAGAAAGAGTCTACTAAAGCTGACGGTGACTGAGAGATTCCTTCGGTATCAAAGGTCCTAAAGAATCGTTGGTTCTCTGAAAGGGATAAAAAAGTAGGAAAGGCTTTGTTCAAACTCCTGCTAGGAAACAACTATTACTCCAACTGATACAATAGCTACGTGACATCAAAGTACTATAAATTATCAAAACTATCGTACAGAAAAATTACAAATCCATTGCAAAATACATTACATTGCTACCATTAAGAAAAAAGTGCTTTTTATTTTCCTTTCTTTTCTTCTTTTTTTTTTTTTTGCCAGAAAAGTATTCTTTCGAAATAGAAAACCCTATGCGTTACCCTGCATGTGGCTAGGATCTAGCATAACGGAGTTTGATTGAGTCCTTCTGAGTTACTGGATGAGGGCTGGAACATGGAACGGGTTAAGCAAAGCCGTGCTGCCCATGCCCCTGCCAGCTGTCAGTGGAGGGATGCCTATTTAAGTGAGACGCAAGAAGATGCCCTGGTCTGTCCAACCCTGCTGGTCATCACACTGGCCGACCAATCAGCTGGTCTGGAATGCACAGGCCTTTTGCACGGGCCCGGGGGTTCCTCGTGTGCTCCTGACTTGTCCTCCAGCCCACATCTAGTGCTTCACTGCGCGGCTCTGGGCTCAGTGATGCCTGTATTGTCTCATGAGGGGAACGATGCATGACGGTGGGCCTGCGAGTTTCAAAAATGGATGTCCAAGGAGTTCCTGGGCTGTGGCTCTTTGAGAGGGCTCCCTCACCAACACGAGGTCTAGGAAGCCCCGCAGCATGGAGGAAACCTGCCAGAAACACAAAGAAACGTATTATGGAAGCCAAAGCGGCTATCGTCTTTTTTTAACACATGGCATTTCCTTTACTTCTTTAAGCTTGAAATAACAAGGTTCAGCGAAGAATAAAAGCCCATTTGCTAAATAAAATAATGATGGTAGTATTTATGAGTACAGTAGAAGACACTCAAATCACTTGGCATTGTGTCAACCCTAACTCATGGTGAGCTCAGTGTGTTTCAGAGTAGAACTTGGTCCATCAGGTCAGTTTTCAGAGGTAGATTCTTATACCTCAGGTCTCTCTGGGTGAATTCAATGGCCAGCTTTGGTTAGCAGCCATCTGCGTTCACTGTACTACCGAGGGGCTCCCAGTAATGAGGATGGTAAATATTATGGGGTGGTGGTCACCATAGACAGGTACAGTCACACACATGCTTTTAAGATCAGAGGGTGGTATAAATATGGGATCGTTTCGTTTTTCTAATAACTGACACCATCTAGACTCTGTGGAATGCCCTTTCTTGAACAGAAACAACTTCCCAAAGGGTAGCTGATATAGACATACTTTTCCCCTTTAATTTCTTGTAATTTGCTTTTCCGGGGAATAGTTTATATGCATTCAAGTGCATAAATATTAAGGGTATAACTACATGGAATTTATATACATAGACCTATTGACTCTCCCTGTCAATCCAAATATGTGTAGACTATTTCTACCACCCCAGGAGGCTACTTAAATCCCCATCCTCATGTAAAAGGTCATGACTATTTTGACTTCTAATAGCACGTGTTTGTACTTTACAGGAACAGAGTTTTATAGTATGAACTCCTTTTTCCACTTCATTCAGTAAACATTAGGTCTGTGAGAGGCATCCCTGATGTGTGTGGCAACAGTTGTCCCCCCGCCCCCAAGATGTTAAATGCTGCTTTATCCACAATAGGAAGTAAATGGGGGGGGGGATGAGATGCCCATCAAAGGGTAGAGAGCAAACTGTGGTACAAACACCCAGGGGAGACGATGTAACTATAGAGAGCAATGATGAGTTAATATGCATATGAAAATATGGTTCAACATACAAGGTCTGCTGCTAAGTGAAATAAGTCAAACTTTCAGGACAAATACTGCATGATCCCTTTCGTAGAAGAAAAGAATAAAAAAAATAGAGCAAGACCAATATTCATGGGTGGTTAGAAGGAGGGAAAGTACACTTTGGTGCAGTGTAGACAAGTTATTGGTGGTGATTGGAAAAGTGGCCCCAATTGTGGATGTCATCACAGCACAACCAAAGTGATAACAAGTATTTGAGCTCAGATGGATGGCTATGGACAAATTGTAATATAGGTAGTTACAGATGTCCACACAGGTGAGAACAGATACAAAATAATATTTATAGGTGCATCCATGTAGTTGGAGACATATAATATTTACTGAAGACAAAATAGGGATATTCCTCAGATATAACCTCAAACATTCCAACGCTGGTTTTCTGGGTTTGAAGGCTTAGAACCATAGTCTCATGGGACAGCTCCAACAACTGGCATCATAGAATTCACAAAAATCATCATCTGTATCCTAGGAAAGGGATTACTGTCTGGGATCTTCAAAGCTGGTAAGCAGTTAAGTCACAACGAGGGTATTGACTGATCGGAGTACAATAGTAAGAAGGTAAACTAAAGTGCATAGACGAAACAATTTGACAAGAGTATGGCAATAGCTTTATCCTTTCATTGCGGTGCGCTAGTCACTGTTGAAATATGCCACTATTTCTTCATCTAAGCCATTATTTCTTCATCGGGGGATAGGTTTGGGAGGTTTCCACTTTTTAGACCTTTACAATTAGAACGGTCGAGAGTCTTCTACATGGTTCAGAAGAACATCAACACTCATGTCAATCTTCTGTTTGGTTCAATTATTATCCCCCCTTGCTTTTTCAGGTTCACACCACTTTTATTGGTGATTTTTTCGGGACTCTACCCTTAGATTTTGGGGTTAGGAAAGGGAAGCTCTACCACTGCTATCTGTTTCCCCCCCAAAGGAAGTCTCACCCTCTCATTGTCCTGGTGCAGAAGAGAGGGAGGAATGTTTCTCTGTTTATAGCACTGATTCTACACACATGGCAGCTCTCGTGGCCACGTTCACAGTCATGACTTTGGAGCATTTTTTCTTTTTCTGCTCTTGGCCCTGGTTGTCAATCTTGGGAAAACAGGGGAGGGTATCACTCGGCCTTTAGATGCCCATACTAGCCTTGACTTTAATTGCCCTGTCCCATCTAGTCCCTGCCTCCACCTCTCTGACATGTTACTCATCTTCCGTGCCTCACCTCGTTCTAGCCACATAGGCCTTCTTTTTTGGCTTCAAGCCTTTTGCACTTGCTGTTCCCTTCCCCGAGCACCTTCTTTTCACAAATTGTTGCATAGTTTTCTCCTTTTGCCCACCCACTCATGTCTCTCTCTCTTCAGTGATCCCTCCTCGTGATCTTTGCTCAAGACCTCCTCCTAGAGATATTCTTTCTCTCTCTAAGCTAGACTAGTTATCAGCCTCCTCCCCGGGACACTTCCATCACATCACAGTTTTATTTTCCTCGTACACTTACCCGCTCTCTGAAAATATTTTATTAGTTTATTATCCACCTTTATAATTTATAGTTTATTATCCACCTTTCCAACTAGAAGGTACGCTCTGGGAAAGTCAGGGAATCTGGGCTCTTGTGCTGCAAGAGGGCCCGATTTAGTTTTCTAACCAAATCACAAGAAGGGGCTATTCTTATCCCCAGTTTACACATGTAGACTGTCAAAGTTACAGAGCCTGAAACACTTGCCCCGTGAGTTAAAGTATGAACATAGATTTGAATTCCGGTGACTGAAATTCCAAAGTCTCTGCCTATAAACTAGGATCTATGGCGTGGATAAAATATTCCAGTCTTTAAAAGCACACAGTGACCGATGAAGCCTAGATCTCTTTTGAACTTCCGGAAGAGTTCACTTCTCACCTTGTGTAGGTCCTTCACTCTTGGAGGTAAACTGTCCCGGATCCTCTGCATTGCCTGCAGTGGAGGCTCATTGAAGTAAGGAGGCTCCCCATCAATCATCTCTAGCACCATGATCCCGAGTGACCAGATGTCCACCTGTTCGGACATCCCACTGGTTATCTCAGGCAAGGAAAACACGCTGACATGCTGGAGGTGCCCACAGAACCCAACACACTCATCCCCAGAAGTTAATTGTGATCGTTTTAACCTTGAACAATTCACAGTACAGGTCAGAACGGTTGTCATAAAGTGTTTTTGCTAATGGCCTTCTTTGACATTTTAAAGATAATATCAAAGAAACGTCTACCAATTGGGGAAACATTAATATCTTAACATTCTGAAATTTAGAACCGGAGTTTTCCACTTTAACTTCTACTGTTAATGGCTTGTAGGTAGCTGTGAAGAATAGCCAAGGTTTTGTCTTATTAACATAGAGAAGAAAGTAAAACAAACCATGTGAAAGTAGGGAGAGGTTGCTTTACATATTCATAACAAAATGCAAGGAGCAACGTTGCCTAGTGAGTGTAGAATATAGTTGGATTTTTAAATTTGATTTAAATAGAAATCCTCTCTCTCCCTCTTTGAGATCCTTTCCGTTATGTCTTATCATTGAAAAGCAGCATGCGCAAAGTCTTGCTTTATAAGCCATTTTCAAGGAGTAGGGAAAAGAAAAAGCAGAGTTGACAAGCAATTCTTTCTGGATAAAGAATGGGAACCTGGACAACGAGGAATCATGGCTGTGCTATAAATTTTCAGTTACAGTCACTGCCTGCTATAGCCTCATTACACCTCTTATCTGTTGGCTGCATTGCCGTATAAACCTTGCAGGGACCTTCACTGAGAATTTATGCTCCTGGGACCACAGTGAGAAAAACAAATTGAGTACGCATTCAAGGTCAAACGAACGTGGAAAAGAGATTAGAGTTCTACTTAATTTCTGCTGTTACCCTGAGCCCATTGGCTCACACTACCTGTCACCGTTCTTCTCTCTTGAATCACCATCTCCCCCCTACTGTCTGGAAGCACGGTCTGCCCGGAGTGAACACACATATACACGCGATAGTCTCAGAGGTCTCACTCTCCCTGTTCTTGCGCCATCCCCTCATTTTCACAAACGTTACTCCTTCATTGGTATGATCTGCTCCTTTCCCGAGGAAAGAAAAGCCGTGCCATATTTTTAAAATGTGCTATAATATTGGTATATGATTTTCTATAGGAACACATTCTTAAAAGGAAAAAGCAAGTATCACCTCTCTCAATTATTCAGTTATTACTTATACTTTCTGGAATTTTCCTTAAATCCCCAGTCTTTTCCCTGAATCCCCAACCTGATTCTGAGCGTTTCTGACCTCTCTACAAGTCATCTTGCCTTGTTCCGTGTACCTCTCTCTGTGAGCGCCGATTAACATTTGACTCACTCTCCCTCATTTTCCTTCGTAGAGCTCCATCCATTGTAGACCTCAATACACACGTCCTCGAATAAATCCATATTGTGTCTATACGCTCATTGGTGGCCAGCATCCCTTTGGTCACAAGCCACGCTGCATCCAGTGCAGTGAGTAGGGATCTGGTGTGAGAGTCAAAAACTCACCACCAAGCCCACCGGCGGTTCATAGCTGTCTTACAACCACTGCAACTCCAAGCCTGTCCCAGGCCACACCTCTCCACTCAACGGTTGTTGCTTCTTACCTCGGTCCCATAAGGTAGTCTAGAAATCACTTCAGGGGCCATCCAGTACGGAGTGCCAACCAGCGATTTCCTCTTTGGCACTTCTTTAGAAACTTGAGCACAGAAACCAAAGTCAGATAACTTTATCTGGAAAGGAAAGGAGGACAACACGTTTACAATGCTGTCTGCCAGAGATACTCACATAGAAAGTATCAAGTTCACTGCAACATTATCTCATCTCACAGGCTGTGCAATTATTGGAGGCAAGGGCTGGTCACACCTTTTTATTAGGGAGGTACAATCAATTTTAATGGAAAACTTTCTCATGGATCCACCAGGGTTGGCTAACAAATGTTGAAACTCCTGCTGTCTAGGTCTTTAATAAAATTATGAAACAAACAAGAAAGCATACTTCTGAAAGGCACAAAGCGAATAAATTCACTGGAGCTCAAATCTACCCCTTTAATTTTAGGTGACATACGTTGTTTTTGTGGAAGCAAATTGCTATGATCAATGTGATTTCGGGACAAACTACTGCAGTTTGGCTTCTTCTGTATCTAACACATTTCAGTTTTATGTAATGCTTCACATAGTCAACCAGTTTTTTGTTTTTCAAATATTGCAAACCATCATTAATATATGATGCTGACTGAGCACATGGAGTATTGGCTCCCCCTCCTCTTTGTTTTCTCCTGTGCTCATGATGAATGACACTGCCAATGGAAAATCAGTGCAAGTGGAAATACGAGAACAGGGATTGGGGAGCAGCCCTCCAAAATCAGGGGCTTAAAATGGTCTGGACTCAGAGTATCCATATTTATTTTATATCATCCTAACTTTTTTTTTAAAGCTCTGAAATTTTGGCACAGCACTCCCATTCTCTTAAGAATTCACTTGAGAACATACTGTGTTGTCAGAAAGTACTCCAGATGCCCGGAATTCAGCGCATTTCATGGCCATGATGACCTGGTGTGAATTTCAGAAGGCCTTATTCCAGACTGCTGTAACACAATGATAATAGGCTATAAAAGAACACAATTCGACAATGGTTCAGAACGACTATTTCAGTTAAAAGTCCCTCATTGATATATATCAGTGGTATGTGTGGGCCTTGGCGGAGCAGTGGTATGATCCTTGCCTTCCAGCAAGAGACTCAGGTTTAAGTGCACCTTGTGTACAGCCCCCACCTGACTGACCATGGAGTCTCGCGTGTTGTGATGATGCTGAATAGGCTTCGAAGAGCTTTTAGACTTGGACAGAGTAAGAAGAAAGGCATGGATATCTATTTCCAAAAATCACCCTATAAAATTCTATGGTTCAACTAAGGCAATAATTCTGAGGATGCTGCTGGACCAGGCAGTTTTCCTTCCATTGTACACTGGAGTCACCAGGAGTTGAGTCCTGAGCCGATAACAGCAAGCAACAAACAGGTGAACAAGTCCTCTTTGAACTTCCTTTCTCAGATTTTTAAAAATCTGATCCTTCCTCTTGTGCTCACACCTTAAATACTGTTTTCTGGTGCTCAGGCCCCAACAATCACCTTTTAACATTCTCTTATCAGGTTCCCTTCTCCCTCCGATGCTTAATCCAGATCTTTCTCCTGCACTCAAGCTCAATATTTTGGACGAATCTATTTTCATATAGAAGCTGAAAGGCATTCTCAGATGAATGAATACAGAATATTCTCCACTCCAAAACTTGACCTGTGCTTATTTTTCCATAATTATCCACACAGCTA